ATACTTTATATCATTTTGTTTTAGGTATTTGCATAGTTTTTCAGAGATTGTCATGGCTGAAATTCAGGTATTTCCCCCATTGTGAGATTAATTATGGGAGTAATATTCTTGTCCTTGATTTCTTGATCTTTCACAAATACTATATTTCTCACAGCATCCACAATATGTTATCCTAGTCCATCCATTTTTTGTCACCTAATTTCTTCAGCATACTTTCAGCTAGAAAATCCATTCAGGTATCAAAATGTCCAGCTCTTCAAGGACATTCCTACTTGTATTTATTGCATCTCATCCTTCAGATTATTCAACAAAGAACTTCAGTCATTTTTTCTCATCCTTCAGCTGTTTCAGCAATTGATTTCAGGCATTTAAAGGGCGATCCTTCAGCATATCAGCATCCACACACATTTGACAGGAAATGTATTTCTCTAGTTTGTCTTGTTCTTAGGTATTTTGATTTATTCTCAGGGATTTATAATTGTGGGAGATCATTCTTGTTCTTGATTGTCTCTCAAATACTATATTCTTGTCTGGTTTTAGGTACTTTTTGTTTCTCAAAATATGTGTGGTGTTTGTTCTTATGGTGTTTTGTTACTGCTCTCTATTGCTGCTGGAACATAGGAATTTCCCCATTGTGGGATCAATAAAGTCCTACCTGCCTACCCCTGCGAGCAGCTCCAGAGGCCTCGGCAGCAGAGCAAACGTAAATGGGGATCAGAGTGGGATTGGGTTTGTTTTAGCCTATGTAAAATGGCCAGACTGACCTGAATCAGATGCTCTGGCTCAACTTGACACATCTCTAATCAGAACACTACAAAGATTAATGCTAAGGTACTAAATAGGTGTCTCTGCAGCTCTTTATGGTTGTTCTGTTTTTGCTTATTGTCAGTCTCTGTGTTTGTTTTGTGTCTTTTGATCATTGAGTCTCATGTTTCATGCAACAGCCACGGCCGAGGCACTTGGTTTTGGGGCCGTCCGTCTGTCTGTTCAGTTCTTGTGAACATGAGTCTCAGGAACATCTTCTGGGAGTTTTTTCAGATGAGGCACGTGTCCACATGTGTCCAAGGACATACTGATTAGATAAGGTCAAAACTCAAGGTCACTGTCCAATTCCTGTGAGCTCGACTGGTTGGTGGTGGCAGGAACTCTAGCTGTAGTTGTTTTGTGTCGTCTGGTCACTTTGTGGTTTCACAGCACTGCAAAGACTTAAACTGACACACTGGTGCTTGATGAGAATAAGAGGATTCCAAAAAGGTGCTCATGTCTACTGAACTATAGGAGGACACCACCAGGCTGTCACATGGGCCCATGTACTACCACCACACACACACACACACACACAGTCATCTGTTTGACAGATTGCAGCTCAGTGCTGCTCATGCACCTCCCTGCAGAGAGAGAGAGGAACTGTGTATCATCATCATCATCATCACCTCCACTGTGTAACTACATGCTGACTGTTGTCACTGTAATATAATCCTGAGTGTGTGTGTGTGTGTGTGTGTGCTGGTGTCCAGCCGGCGCCCGCTGACTCTCATCAGTCCGATCAATTAGAGCCAGAGATCAGAGGAGACGACCACAGATCAATAACCATCTCTAACTGCCTGTGTGAGGGAGCGTCTCCTCGTTTCCATGGAAACACAAGCCGGAACCTGAGAATCGGGGACCAGTTTCTGTACTGAAGCTAGAGCCTGGGTTTCATCTCTGACCTGGGTTATAGTGGGAAAACAAATGATCAGTGTGTAAAAGCCCCTAAATGCACCATCTGCGGTTGGCTGTTTAACGAGCAGTGTGTCCACACAGAGACACAGAAGAAGAAAGGCCAATTAAAAATAAGACCAGAGCCACTGGCAGTTTGAGACTTTCGAAGAGAGGCAGTGAGAAAACAGAAGCAAGGGGTAAACGTGACAGTAGAAACACACCAACACAAGATGTTTAGAGTGTGTCTGGCAACTTCAGCTCTGATTTTAGTTTTCTAATCTAACTACTAAACATGTGGCTGAGCAGAGGCAGTAGGGGCTCCAGCTGCAGCGACTCCGCCCTGCAGCACCAAGATGCTCCAGCACACTGATCTGTGACACATATCATGTACAAGTGGTGGTTGAAAGGGGCATGAATGCATCCTGACGCCTCTGTGAAGAGACACACCTGTGACCATGTGTCCTCAGGTTAAATGTGACTGAATCTGTTTGTTTTCTCTGTGTCTTCACACTTCACCTCATGTTGTTTCACGTCTTTAACTACTTTGTGTCTCCTCTTCCTTCTTATGAGAACAGTCTGATACCAGGCTCCTCTGCTTATCCCTCCATCTCTCTCTCTTTTCACACTCCCTTCCATGTTTGGCTTCTTCTTCTATTTCAGGCCTATTGAGATTTTGGCTCCTGGGTTGACTTGGTCTGTCGTCCAGTCTGCCGCTCGCCCTCAGTCCAAATTCACACTGAAGTGTTGCACAGGTCTCAGTGCGGGTTTTACATCTCTGCACTATTGATCTTCATCACTTTGCAGTCATCTTGTCTCCCTGTTGTCGTCCGACTCTTTCTGTTTATCATGACTGTAATTTCCATATGTCTGTTGACCAGTGTTTGTCTTTCTGCCCTCCATTGGTGTCTTTGTTTCTCTGCGAGGCTATTTCTGTCTGTCTGGTTTCCGGCCTGTGTTTCTCTTTGATTAAATATGGTCAGTGCTCACTCAGCTGATCAGACGTCTAAACACAGCTGAAGTCAGAACAGATCTGGCTGGATATAAATACCCCGACAGCTTCCCTCAGGTTTGCAATGAACGTGTGCAGCCACCCTGGGACTGTTTTTGGCTGAAAGGTGTTGACAGATTCGACATCGCACCAGCTCTCCTCCCGTTCACTGTCCGCAGGTTTTAACACGTTCGCCTCTGATGTTGTAAAAACTGTGTTCGCCATGTGTCCTGTAAATGTGTGACAGGTGAATGTCCTCTAACATGACCAACACTCCTCCTCCCATCATCTGAAGATACTGTGACACACAAACATCAGTTTTAAGACTGAGAATCAGCCACAGACCTGGAGCGGCTGATAAATCCTGAACCTCAGGAGGATGCTGTCTGTCTGTTCTGTTTCAGGGAGCACAGGGAGGTGAGACGTGCTGATTCATTCAGTCTGAAGCTAAAACCTGCAGCTCTGCTCCTGCAGACTAAACATCCCGTCTTCTCCACTGCTGCCTGTCTGTCTCATCACCCCGACTCTCTGACCTGTACATTCATTCGTGTTTTCAGCCTTTACTGTCCTGTCTTCATTAGCTCTCATTTGCTCTGCCTCTGTTTTCCTATACAGCAGACAGGGCCCTGGCTGCAGACAAAGATGGTGGAGAGCCACCATGACTGCAGAGTGACAGCCTCAGACTTTTTCCAGGAGGTGGGACATGGCTGGGGTGATGGCCACCCTAACCCTGCACCTCACTGTAAACCTGCCGAGGTTGCTAACCAGCTTTGTTCAGTAAATCTGGCTACGAGTCATGCTAACAGCAGCACATGGCACCATGCACAGGTTGTAGGCACTGTAGATGTTTGACTAATACTGTCAACACAGAGTCACCTGATCAGATTCACCCTGCAGCCTGACACTGAGCCCAAACCTCCAACAGAGCCCTAAGGAACTATGTTCAGAGACCAGAAGGACCAGGGGTTGTGGAGCAGATGGTCTAGACCCCCAGAGTCCTGATCTGAGCCTAATAGAGTTAGTCTTGGGTCTCAGGCAGAGACAGAGACCCTGAGACAGCCTGAAACCACAGAGGAACTGCGGCAGGTTCTCCTACATACCCAGAGACAGTGTGGGCAGTGTGAGGAGACCTGGGGCTGGTTTAAAGACAGCAAACACTGGTCGGGTGCAGACCTTTTCTCTTTACTGCACTAATAAAGTCCAGAGAGAAATAAAAAGTATTTTACTGTTGAAAGCATCCTCACTTTACTTTTATGGCCTGAAGCTTCTGCACAGAACTCAGCTGTGCATGAGGAGAAGCTGCACCCACCTCTGATTTGTCCTTTGTTTCTTTGTCTTCCTTTCCTGCCTTTCCTCATTCCTTTATGTCCTTCACTCCTTTCCCTTCTTTCATTTACTTTCCTCCTTCCTTCCTTCCTTCACCCTTGTTTTCCTTTCTTTCCTCTTTTGCCCGCTGTCCATTTTGTGATTCCCCACATTTCCTTCCTCTCATTCCTTTCCTCCTACAACCTGGTTTTTCATGAGTCATTCCACAGTAAACATTAACAGGGTTTCTGCAGGTTCACCAAAGTGAACACAAGACTTCCTGAAACCACTGTAATAGTCACACAGAATGCACTTTTCATCCTCGTGGTTACGTGGGCCAGTGTGTAAAGGATCACATGAAAACCAGTGGAGATGAGGCGACTTGGAGTTTTTTTTAGCAGCTGCATGAATTTATTGGCATGTACCACATCACTGCCAGTGCTTCATTGTGTATAACAAGAGCTCCTAAAACAGCCTTTAACCAATGATACAACTGGACCAGCAGGGAGTGGATGGCTGAACGAGACAAACACCAACCAATTAAAAATAATTTCATAACATCAGAGGACTAGAATATTGGCACTGGGGATTTTCTCTTCAGTATTAGCCAAAAACACACACACCAACACTGTATAAGAACCATTAGTGTCTGTGACAGAGCAGAAAATATACTGAAGAGCACAGTAAGTGAAATTTAAGACTGTTCAGCACCTCTAAAGGTCTGGTTTGTAGACAGAGCTTTAAGACCTGGAGCAGCCCTGACGACAGGCCACTCGGCCCGATGTCTCGGGGTGATACAGATGGTGTTTGGTCCCTGCTCAGGGAGGAAACCACATGAAACCATAACAGTTTCCAATGTTTTCACCAGTGCCATCACACACCCACCATACACACAGGTTTATGACGTGGCTTGCCTCCCTGCACTGCCCAGAAACCTCACAGTCTGCTGACACACACCATTCAGGTCACATCTGAAAATGAAAAGCCATGCCAAGTTGGGACTCACCCTACAGCAGCGGCGGCGGCGGCCTTGGTGTCAGGGTCACCACCTACTCTCCGACACAGCCGAGCACTGAAGCAACACTTTCCTGGAAGAACAAGTTGTCATCATCCTCTCACCCTCTGGATTCCTCCACAGAGGTGGAAGCAGAAACAATCGTCAGCAGGAGAATCCAGACGTTGGACTGGATTTTATTTTCTGTTTCACTGGTTTTATTTTGGCGAGGTGGAAGCGTGTTCTTCTGCTGCTTGCGCCGTGCCTCCTCTCTCCTCTCTGTCTTCAACAACTGTGAGGAGGATGCTGGCTGGTGCTGGCTGTGTCTCGTCGCCCGTGGCAACCGGTTGCTATAGCGATGGACCCGAGCTCATTGGGAGACGGAGGTGATGATGGAGACGTGGGGAGACTTATGGAGGGACAGAGAGGAGCCAGGTTTGTTTACATGGCAGCCAGAGAGTGTGAGAGATCAGGGGTGTGTGTCTGTGGTGTGTGTGTGTGTGTGACAGAGAGGGCGCTGTCTCAGGTGTTAATGTGATGTCTTTTAACATCAGCTGATTCAGTGTTTTTTTTAATCATGAGAAACTGCACTAAACGTAAAGACCACAAACAGCCACAGTATCACGTTCATGATCCCCGCCCCCCGCTGAGGAGCAGGACACCCAGACCGAAAGTGACACCCAGTGACTACAAACGAGTGCCTGTTTCTGGTAACTGTGTCTCTTTTTGTCTCTTTATGGCTGTTTTGGGCTCATGTGTGGCCACTTTACAGTTGTTTGTATTCATTTTGTCTCTTTCTGTAGAAAAACCTGCAGGACCTCACCAGACCTGTCTCTAATGAAAAGTGTAGAGTGACTGATCTGTAGTGTTCAGGAAATTTTGCAGTGAAAATGAACCAGTCCAAGCTCTGTCGTGTCTCTATATGACCTCAAACTGTTACTTACGAGTTGACATGACACTCGTGTTGATGATATCTGTGGGGAGAAATTGATCCTCTTCAGCTTCTGACTTGGGCACCAACTTGAATTGTTGTTGCTATGTTGTTTGTCCAGAAGGAGAGAGGAGACAAGTGAGCATAATCACCGCAAACCTGAAATTATCCCAAACACTTCCCAGCAGTGGATGTGTGTCCCAGCTGCACTGACAGGCAGCTGTGTTATTACAGGACGTTACCGTTAATGCCAGCAGTTGTCTGTGATGAAGGCGTCACCACAGCAGCTGCAGCAAAGTCACAGCTCTATGTGTACAGCAGTTATCGCGTCCTCTGGTGTGTGAACTATGGGTAGGCAGACAACAGACTCATCAGTAGTGGGACTCAGACAGGAGAGCTCTTTACATTAGCCCGAGCAAAATGCTACCGACACAGTAACGGTAACTGAGCCGACCAGGTCCAGATACTGAGCCGTCTGCAACACGTCATAGCGTGGGAGTTTCACTGTGCTGACATCAATAGTTGTACAGTAAATATACACTACACAATATATGTTTGTTCCTCAGGAAACACGAGACTCATCTGTTTCCAGCAAATGGCTCCACAGGCTGAGGACAACATCACTGGACAGTGTCTGCAGTGAGACAGAGTCACTGGTCTCGCTGCTCCACCAGCTCCTCGCTGCACAGAGCAATGTGTTGGAGCGGTTTGTTGGAAACAGACAGCCTCCTGTATTTCCTGAGGAGGAAACCTGCCCCCCAGGGCAGATTATTTCTTCTGTTTTGTTGCTCAGTCCACAAAGTAAAGGTCACCAGTCTGTCACAGGGCTGACAGAGGCAAACAACCACACACACTCCTACGGGCAATTTAGAGTCACCAGTCAACCTAAACTGCATGTCTTTGGACTGTTGGAAGAAGCCAGAGAACCCACACAGGCACAGGGAGAACATACAGACTCCACACAGAAAGCCCCCGGGTCAGCCAGGGCTCGAACCCAGAACCTGTTTGTAGCTCTGAAACAAAAAAAAAGTGAGTGACTGATTATCTGTTTTCTGATCCACTTGTTGTGAAGCAGTGGTACATGTTCTAAAGTAAAGGCCTGAAAAAAACTGAAACTGCTCTTTACACAGCTGTGATCTCCTCTGCTTCCACAGCAACCAGTGGGATAAAAGAAACTGCCAGTGACTCCAGCACATACATAGATCCCATCCTGGCCCTTCAGGTCACCTCACAGTAATATTTACAGCCCAAACACAAGTGTGCAGAAGCCATGTGTTACAAGCCATTATGCTGTATTTAGTGACCTGGAGCTGCCCATTTACAGAGCTCTTACCTGTTCAACACAGCAGCACAGGCCACATCACGGTCACTCCTCACCTGAACTGGGCTGTGAGGCCCACATAGCCAAGCTCTGATCGCCCCCTGCTGACCATTTGTAAGACTATCACACATATATTCATAATCATACACACAACAGAGTCAGGGAAAAATTATTTGAACCCCAGCTGATTTTTTATGTTTGCCCACTAACAAAGAAATGATCAGTCTACAATTTCAATGGTGGGTTTATGTGAACCGTGAGAGACACAACAATAACAAAAAAATCCAGAAAAATGCATTACAAAAAAGTTATACATTCATTTGCATTTTCATGAATGAAATAAGTATTTGATCCCTTTGCAAAACGTGCTTTAGTACTTGGTGGCAAAACCTTTGTTGGCAATCACAGAGGTCAGACGTTTCTTGTAGTTGGCCACAAGGTTTGCACACATCTCAGGGGGGATTTTGACCCATTCCTCTTTGCAGATCCTCTCCAAGTTATTAATGTTTCATGGATGATGTTTGGCAACTCGAACCTTCAGCTCCCTCCACAGATTTTCTATTGGATTAAGGTCTGGAGACTGACTAGGCCACTCCATGACCTTAATATTCTTCTTCTTGAGCCAATCCTTTGTTGCCTTGGCTGTGTGTTTTGGATCATTGTCATGCTGGAATACCCAACCATGACCCATTTTCAATGCCCTGACTGAGGGAAGGAGGTTCTCACCCAAGATTTGATGGTACACGGCCCCATCCATCCTCCCTTTGATGCAGTGCAATTGTCCTGTCCCCTTGGCAGAAAAACACCCCCAAAGCATAATGTTTC